GGGCAGGCAGCCTTCGGCTCCAGGCTTGCAAGGCCATGCAAGCAGCGTATCTGTTTGTATGGGCTCAGGCAAAGCAAGAACGTGCAGCACCCTGCATGCCCCGGGATGTCGAGCTGCTCTCATACCCTGCAAAGCACATCCCGAGAGGTTGCCCACCAGCAGCTACACACGGAAAACCATACCTGGCTGCTTTAAAGTAGGATGGACACAGCCAAAGACCTGAGACAGACAGAGCCATCGCTGGGCAATGCAGAAGGTCTGTCCAGGGTGACATACAGCAGTTCCACTCCCTCCATAACAAGCCATTTTCTTTTCTCAATACAGCTCTATCCCCAAACTGCCTTTTGGTGGTTTTATTGTCCCCAGAGAGTCCACTTCGCATTATGAAGAACCCTTGGGCACGTTGTATTTTTGCACGCGCCTGGTCACACTTTTTCATAGGAAGGTTTTTTGGTCCACCAAAATACTCCCTTTTCTTTAAATTTGAGTGGAATTTAGAAACATTTTCTAAAGTCAAACCTCCCTGGTTTCCATGGAAAATCTCCAGGCTTCTCAAGCCCCCATTCTAAGAATAATTTTTAACTGAAACCAATTTCAAAATTGCAGCAATTCACTTAAATGTTCACTTTGAGATGCCAGAAGTGCCCGAGCTGCCCCAGAAGGGAAGGTGGGAAGTCTCCCCTTCGGGGACAGCGATGACTCCACCACCTGGGTTACAGCGTAGGGATGAATTTTGGGCGAAGTGCGGCTGCCCCAGGTGCTGCATCCCACACCCTGAACGGGAGCCAGGAGGCAGCAATCCAGCGGCTGAGGAGAGGAGCCCTGGGGAAGGGAAATCTCCCCCTTTCCGCCAACATTAGAGAGAGAAGCCAGGAACAGGAGCTGGGCTTCATGGTTCTCCTGTGGCCAGAGGAAAGCACAGCTGCTCCCTGCCCGTGCCAGGATGCTGCATGTCCCTTCCCCACGTAGTTTTGCAATCGCTGGGCTCAGGGCATGGGAAGCAAGCTGCAAAGCCTTGCCGGGCCGCGGCTGAGCCATACCCCGAACCCCTGGAAGCGGCTGCACTGGGGGAGCTGTTATGAGCTGTGCGGCTTAACCGATCTGTGCGCAGGGAGCAAGCACAGAGGAGTAAATAATCACTAAGAACCACACCGCTGTCTGCCACGGGGTAATAATTCACTTGGGAGTGGAGGGGAAGAGACGGCCCACGGGACATTCCCACAGCAATCGATGCCGCAGATGGGGCGTCCGCAGGCTGTGACGATCTACAGGAGTCACACTGGGACCAGTCCCAAACTCCCCCAGTGTGGTCCCGTGGGCCCCAGTGGGAAACCGTTTGTCCACCCCCTTGGGAAACTTCTGTGGCTTTAGACAAAAGCAGGATGTTTCAAAGGGTTTGTGGAGAGAAAGAGGGGTGGGGGGGGAAAGAGAGCGAAGGAACTTGCTGCTGTTGAAAAGCCTGGGGTCAGACACACACGTAATGCACAGAAAACTGCTCTGGTCGGAGGAGCAGTCTGGCTACCCAGCACCCCTCTGTCCAGCCATTTAAGCCATGACTTTCCATGCTCTTACTGATGGATGCATCTCCAAAACCTATGCTTTTCTCTGAAAAATCTCCACCTCCCCAGTGGGCACTTCCAGGTCCGCATCTCAGCCCCTGCTGCACCCCTGGCACAACGCAGCAGTACCGTGCAGCTAGCGTGCTTCCCCCAGCACTGGTGGACAGACACAAAGGGCCAATTTGGGAGCAAACCAAGAACCAGACTGAAGGCCCATGTCACTGCCTAATTCCTGCTTTGATCCTGTGAGGGCAAAGCTTTGACACAGACCATACTCCGGGTTATGGCCAAGGCAGAGCTCAACCCACGGCTGGTTCCTACCCTGGCTGACCACAGGCAGAGCTACACTAAAACCAGTTTTACTTGTTCACCTGCACCAGTGGCACAAATGGAGGCTGCTCAGCATGGAAAAGACATGGATGCCTCTGTCACCCCTTGCTGCAAGCAAGACCTGCCACTTTCTGGAGCAGAAAGATGGTCCCAAAGATCCTCCAGAGCACATTAAGCCCTGGATGTCATGGTTGCAAATGAAGCAGAAACTCAGTGGGGTGAATGATTACAGAGGAATAACTGGGCTGAGACTCACTTGTTGTTCAGCGCTCCTCCCTGGTCGCAGTCGCAGGGCCGACATCCATCCATGTCATTGCTCAGGCCCCAGTGTTCAGGCTGTGGGAGGAAACATCAGCAGCGCTGTAATCCAGTGCCAATCTAACCTCTTATACCTCAAAGGCACCATTTTGAAATACTCAGCATAAGCTACCCCAGACTGTCCTCCAACCCATAAATCCTGCTCCCCTGTTGTGGGTCTACCCCCACAACCACCAACACAACCTCCCCACCTGCTCTCCTCCACATTGCTGACCATCTCAAGGGCTTGAGAAAAAACCCACATCTTTCCACCTAGCTTTAAAAGTAAGATTCAGGGGGACCCAAGCTCAGAGACCTCACTCCTACTGCACCATTTACACCAGTTTGGTCTCCTGACCCATGAAGGGCTTGGAAAATCACAGCCCAGCATGTCACCTTGCAGCAGAGAGCCACGCGTGGGGCAGTGGGGCTTGGTGTGGGGCACTGCCCTTGCAGGGCTGCTACTCTGCAACTTGCTTGTTGGACAGACAGACTTGTTTAGTTTTTCCATGCAGTTCACTGTTAGATAAGACAGCCTGTCAGTGTTTATACAAACACATCCAGTTATCTGACAGCGTGTTTCTATAACACTCCAGCACACATAAACACTGTATGGAAATGTATGTGTATGAAATAACCCCTGCCTAAAATAATGGCCTGTACAGAAAGCAATTTTTTTGGCAACACTGTTTCTCTGACCATTTTGTCTTTCACTGCAGCGAGGGCTCCAGCAGAACGACCCCAGATCCCTCATTTTCACAGAGCAACCACTACAGATATCCTAACACGTCACTCCTTACGGTCCCAGGAATTAAGCTGGGTGCTCTTGTCTGCCTTGACTTGCCTCCCAGCTCCCCGTAACACAGCGTGCTTCGTGGCTCCTGACATCCCGAGGTGCCCACTCCAGCCCGAACGCCAGGCGCCCGCGCGCAGGCAGGCAGAGACGGTGGCCAGCAGCTTGCTCCACGCTTTCCGCACGCCAGCCCCCCTCACACCGGCGTCTCCTAATTTGTTTTACGGTAAGCTGCTTACCAGGCAGTGATTGCACTGCTTTCCTGTCACCAGGCGCTTACAATAGCAGTTTCCTGTCTCCGAATCACAAGGATTCCCCCCGGGGTGGGTACCCAGAGGATTACACGCACAAGCTAGATTGGGAAATACAAATAGGCAGTTCAAAACACAGGATTGGAGCTACATTTTAGACAGTACCCAACTTAAATACTCACATTAAAGCTTCCCCTGAAGTCCCCAGGACAGAGATTAATTGCACACTTTGCCTACCACCCACCCCAGTAAAACTTCCCTGGCGTAGAGACTTAAAAACAAAGGAGGATTCTGCTATTTCCACTGAATACACTAGAAGGATCAGCTGGGGAACTGAGTTTCAAGGGCGGGTGGACTCTAAGCTACAGCAAATCTGCAAGAATGTTTTTTTCCTCAGCAAAAACATGAAACAAAGGAAAAAAAAAACCCACCCCACAAACCAACTTCTCCCAGTTCTAACAGCTCCTCAAAGAGCTTTTGATCACACATAAAGGAACATATGTTTTTACTCACACTGACAACCCGCTGGGTCATCGGCACTCAGGCCATAGAAACCTTCTTTGCAGAGGTCACAACGCTCCCCTTCCACAAATAATTTACAACGGCACTGTCCGGCAATGAGGCCGGTGGAGAAATCGGTGTAGCGATCACAGATGCCACCATTTTGGGAGCCAGCTGGGTCACAGTTGCAAGCTAAGAAGGAAGCATTGCATGTGTTTTATTAACTGCTACAAAAGAAAAGGCCAAGTCTCACACTGAATTATTCAAACTCAGCTGCCGTGTAGAGAGAGTGTATCATTCCTGCAAGTATTAGACACGATATGAGTTGAACGCATAATGACCAGACAAATTTTCAGATTCTTGAGGAGAAAACAAAACCCAGCCAGGCTCGCTCAAGACCTCCAAGACAACCACCTTCCCTCAAGGATCTTTGTTCAGGAGCATGGTATTGTCCAAAAGAAGGCCAGTAAATCCTAAATTCTCCAGGGAAAGCCCTGGGGGGCCATGGCCGGGATGCCGTGCCATTCCCATGCCGAGGAGCGGGGCTGCACTTACGCTCACAGACATCGGGGTCCCGCAGGTCTCTCTCCGGGTGCTGGAAGTAGAAGGGCTTGCACTGCTCGCAGTTGCGTCCTACGGTGTTGTGCTGGCAGTCGTCACACACTCCCCCGCTGGTATTCCCCGTCGTCATGTACACAGCCATGTCAAAGTGGCACTGGCTGGAATGGCCATTGCAGTTGCACTCTGTGACAAAGACAGAAAGCAAAGTAAGAGTCTGGTCCCAGGGGAGATGCAAGTCTGCAGAAAACACACACCAACGTCAACCAAAGAACATGCACGACTTTATGTGTTGTCACAAGTTCCCAAGTAACAGTATCTAACGCTCCCACCAGCCTCCAGTTCTGCATTTTACTCAAACTCACTCTTGCATGCATTACTATTGCGGCCTTCAGCGGGTCGCCAGGGTAAGTCATGGTAGAAATCCAAACACTGTTCACAGTTTAACCCTTTGGTATTATGTCTGCACATGCAGTGCCCATGGACCTGTCATTAAAAAAAGGAAAAAAAAAAGAGGAATATACTTGGTTACAAAAGAAGAAAGGGAAAAAAAAAAAAGCTCTGATTAATGCAAAATGTAGTTAGCACATAATGGATATACTTTTGGAGACTTTAAGGCATGTAGGTGCACGTAGGAATACATAAAGAGCCACAGGAGCGTCCTTTACCTGCCAAGGTAAGAATGTCCTCATACAAATTTGTCCTTCTTTCTCTACTGGAAATAATGCCTGAATAAACACTTTCAGACATGAATAAGGAAAGCACAGTTCCACCTCAATAATCACAAAACCCTCTTTGACCTAAAAGTTAGCTGTTTATTAGCTGTTAATTAGCTATTAACATGCATCTAGTTCTATCAGCACATCACTAGCCCAGCACCTTTTTTCCAGTCCTACCTTGGTTCTCAAGGCAGAGATAACAGTTCGGATGGGTTTTATCCATCAACCCAGACTTTGCCTTCAACATGTACAGAACAAGCACCAAGTAGACCAACAGCGATTGCGTGACAGGTGCTGCCACAGACGACGGGGCTACCAGCACTGGAGCCGCGATGTTAAAGGCAAAACCAGCCTTGCTGCTACTCCAGTAGAGACACCCCCCGAAAGCGCTGGGCAGCGGAGCGTACCCACTCGCCGGCACCCTGCGGCCCCGGGGACAACCCACACAACCTCCCTGTATGGCTCCACATTTCCATCCAGTTAATAACTCACTCATTAACAGGGGTGCTATGACTGCTTGTCAGAGAAAAATCATGGGGAAAAACAGACCCCAGAAGGGATGTGATACTTGCACAGCAGCGTACCTGCAGGCAGCAGGATTTTCCTTCAGAGCCTGCTGATCATTAGGGCTACAGCCTCCACTTCTCAGTTAATCACGATTGATACAAACGCAGGTCATGTTTGATTCATAAAGATGTTTCATCCTTTGATGCCTCTATTCACTTCAATTTTAGGGTAACCAAGTCAACCCACATGCCCATCTCTGGCCCCATACAGTTACACTCCCTTTCTGCATTCCTGTCTTCTAATTTCATCAGCTCTTTAACATAATTAGAAAAGGAATGCTAAAACAATTTTCACCTAATCTGAGCTCTCTGTGCTTGATTAACACCAATAACGACAGATATGCTTGCTGCGGAGGAATAGTTTTAACGGTTTTCTTGTTTGAAAATTAAGGGTGGGGAGCAGAGGGGCAGAGTGTCATCTTTAAATTTGTGTTTAAATCACTTGAAAGAGGCACAAACAGGAACAGCTTCACGCAGAAAAGTATGAATATTTACCATTCCTTCCACTTCTTCGTTAAAGCCGTCCACCGGTGCACACTCGCTGGCGTGTCCATAGCAGAAACAGTTCCCACGAACCACCATGTCGTAGATGGCATAGTAGTACTTCTCTCTGATCTCCATCCTAGAGTCCAAGAGATTATCTCCCAGTGTGTGCAGCTTTGTAAATTTGACTCTCAGATTTGTGATCTTTAATAGGTCTGCAGGGGACACCAAAAAAAAAAAACTAATAAAAAAAACCCCAAAACCAACCACAAACTGCATTTTGGAATTATTTACCAGATATTGCATCGAATGGGAGGAAGCCAGGAGTGACTTCCCAAGCACATTTTCTAAGGGCAGATTAGATCAGATTTAATTTCAGCATTTACATACGACATATCACATCACTTCATACTCCCAAGTCGAAAAAAAAAAATTACATTCTTTTACTACAGGTTGATCACTGTATAAGTTAGTTTAAACTTAAAAATACTAGTCTGTTTTATTGTAGACATACACAGGCACAAACACAAATATTACAGGCATGTACAACAGTACCACTGAAAATACACTGGTGTTTTGGGGCTTTAAAATGCAAGATGGCCAAGGACCTGATGTTAAGAAAGTGCTGAAAAGTGGACCAGGAGATTTAAGAGTTACGAGCCTTTTGGAAAAAATCTTGGTTGGAAACAAGACATAAATAATTCTTCTTTCTTATATGACCAACTTTCCTAGCAAATACAGTTATTAACATTTTGCTGAAAGAAGCAACACCCCATCACTGACCAAATACAAAGGAGAAGTTCTCGAGGGATAGATAATCCATGGGTATTGCAGTAATTAATTCAGTCTACATGTTCACTTTGATACTATGAATCCTGTGTAATTTCTTATAGCCTTGAAACTAGGCTTGAAAAAGCACTCCAAGTCCACGAAAGCAGAGTTTCTCCTTTAAAACATTGGTTAAAAAAAAAAAAAATAAAATTCAACTGATATGGCAACTAGCAGACACTTTTCTACTTCAGATATTTTCTTCTGCTCCAGTTAGCTTTACACTGAAGGACATGAACCGAAACTGAGAAAGCGTATGAAATCGGAGGTCAAGTTTAACACCAAGCACTGCAGTTCCCTACTCAGGCCAAATGCCCCACGAGGTTTCTCTTTGAGCCATGTTCAGCAACAGATCTCTCTATCTTTGCATTCCTGGATTGTCATGACTGTACACAAACACTACAGTAATTTGTGTTTTACAACTGCATCTGTGCAGTCCAGCCATGCAGTGCTACCAAGGCCAACCATTCTAAAGTCATGACTCAGATGTTCTAAAAAATAAAACATGACCCCCTTGATTTGATAGAAATGCAAAATGCCACAAGTACCTTTGTGGTTCTGTTTCTTTGCTTTCTGAATACTGTACAATTATGGGATCATGTTCCAATGTTTCTCTTGGTGACTGCATGTATTTTGGGGAGAGGTGGTCTTTAATAAAAATAAATCCCTGATCAATTAAGAAAAGGACCAACTACAATGATGAGTGTAAGAGCAGTTGACAACACTCATCGTTATTTCCCAGCATATCATTATTTGAGTCAGGAAAAGAGGCCATACCACAAATGTATTCATATGACTTCAAAACCGTTATTGGGGCTAATGCATGGCTTTATTTGTGGCTTACTGTTTTTTGTAAGCAAATAAGTACAGAAATACTTTCAAATAAGCCTGGAAGGTAACTGCATACATACTTTGAATCCTTGAACTGTACGGATCTTCAATTCGAAAAGCAGGATCTAAAACACGATATATCACCTGGAGGAAAAATGGTACAACAAAAGATTCAGCTTTAAAAATAAGAGAATCTGAATTTGTATGGGAAAAGTCTGTACAATAAACATGGAAAAAACCCCTCTGACCTCTCCCTCTGTTGAAGGTTCAATGTCGGAGTATCGGGAATCACAAATGATATCATCCACTTTCTTCATGGGTCCAGTTGAAATCCCAGGAAATGAGCTCTCACAGTCATATGCAAAATATCTATATACTTGCCATGTTTTTCCAAAGTCAGATGATCTTTCTATCAACATTGCAGCAGGACGGAATGTCTAATAGTAAGAAAACCAAAGGAGATTTTATTTGGTTAATTATTACTTGCATTTACATTGAGCGCTTTTAAGCGTGAGCAATCCACATGTTTGGATTTTAATCTCTCTCCCTGCACTGACTATTTCCAATATTTGGAAATATTGGAAGTATTTTTCTGCCGATATCCCACTGTCTGGTCAGAGACAGATCTCTGAAATAACACACATCAAACCACAGATGACCCATCTTTAAAACGATGGCACTCAGTGGCCAAGTGCTTAAATACGCTTACAATAAATAAGCAAACTTGTAAGTTTTTGGGATTCCAAATTCTTTCTCAAAACTGGGGCTTAAAGCGGGGCTTTAAGGAGACAAAAGGATTTTTTCCATTACTTGTGGAAAGCAGCGCAGCCTTCTTCCCTGTTGTACCTCCTTGCCTAATCTTCTGCCAAGGACCTAACAGGCCTCCTCTCCTGCCTGGGGGACAGGGTGGCCGCTTTCAGTGCTTCCCCTCCAGCTCTGATGCCCAGAAGTTCTCGCTGAGCAGTTCCCTCTGACGCTCAGAAAAGCCCTGGGGTTGCTCTCTTGTCTGACCACACTACCTTTTGCAGCATCTCTGCCATCCACTGTGCTGCATTAGGAACGCCTTCTTTTTTAAGGAGACTGAGAGGTTCAGCCTCATCCACTCTTGCTGCATTTCACCCCCCCAATCTCCTGTGACCCTCCTCCAGCTGGCCTTGCCCAGACTCTGGCAGGCTGCATTCGCTTCCAACAAACCACCGTCCTTCTTACCTACACGCATTCAACTCTACAACAACTAGCTAATGAGATTTTTAAAAGATTTTGAATCCCTCTGACCTAAAAATCTCATTTTTCAACGTATGCGCTATCTTTCAAAAAGCGGATATTAATTTAACACTTGGCTCGCACCTACCAAGAAATGCCAACAGTCTCCTCATTGGTTTTATGTATTCAGGGGAGGCCCTCCCGGAGCCAAGTACAAAAGCATTTCTGTCACAGCAGGAAAGACATTTTCTTTCTGCTTCCTGGCTCAAAATATCACCCAACTTACAAACTGGTATCTCACCCAACAAAAAACGTAGCAACCTAGAGGTGAGGCAGCTCAAATGTTTACCAAGCAAACAAAGTCAACAAATCATCATTAAAACTATTTTTCCCCCCCAGTCTTCCTCCTGATGGCAGACCAAGCCCAGTGGCACCGGGGCACAACGGCACCCGCATCGGGTCAGGGCTCTTGCGGGTCCCTCAGTGCCGGGCTCCAGCAGAGAGGACCACCTTCCACCTCAGCCACCACCTTGAGGCAGGGGGAGAAACCCAAGCGATGCTACAGGAAAGAGGAGCCAGCTCTCCTAAAAAGCTGATGGGTAAAAATGAAGAGATTAATTTGTCTACGTGCGAAGAGCAGGGATTTAGTCCTGCAGGAACTGCAGCCCCTGCAACCTCAACTGAAGGTTGCCACCAGCGCTTGCCTGCAATTTAGGATGTACGGGACATAATCTGCCATTCCAAGACATCTGTTTGTAAAGAAACAAAGACACTTTGTGTACAGATGTTCCTCCTTCCTGAAGACCTTTCCATTTGCCAAATGAAAACCGATACCACGGCCAATTTTATTTTTTTTTAAGAAGAAAAATCCTTGTTACTCTATGATTTAGCTAATGATCTTCTAGCACGCGACCACCAGAGAGAGACACCAACACAAACCCCAGCTTCAGTATGACTCCTTCTGCAGCCTCACTGCAGTTCAAACACAACTCGAGCCACAAGTCACAACTCGAGCCACAAGTCACAACTCGAGCCACAAGTCACAACTCGAGCCACAAGTCACAACTCGAGCCACAAGTCACAACTCAGCCTTCCTGCATGACTTCAGCA